GAAGTGGTGGTTTCAAACGTGGCTGAGCGATACTGCCTGAGAACTCGGACGAACGGATTATGTTAGCGAGGGCTAATCTTGACTGGTTACTTGCTAGTGCATCCCAAAGTGGCTTCCCAGACGACGAGAAAAAGAAGGCATCCGGCTCATTCTTGAAAACGAATGAACTTAAAACGGCAGTAACGAAACATTTGGAAGAGTTTCCACTACGTCTTAAAAAATATCAAAACGGAAGTATAGAAACGAAATTACTTACATCAGACGGCACCCAAAGACGTCCTTCTCGTCTCATACGGAGGCGACGGCAGAATTCTGGTACCCAGCTTAATGAACAATCGATCGGTGCCCGGACAGAAAATAGGAGATTAGAAACAGCAGCTGAAAAGTTAAGTCAGGTCTACTCCAAACCGAAAGGAAAACGCGGCAATCACGACTCACACTGCTCAGTATCCCGAGATGGCAAATGCTTTGGCAGTTTTTCGATAACCGCGATGAACACCTGGCGCACTTCAACAGTACGACCATACAACAAGGTTTGGTAGCCGAAATCACCTCTCACGTTATGTTTCTAAAAGTTAAGACGAGCCTTCGTACGATCTTATTCGATATAAACGATCACCTTGTGAAAGCACAGAACCTTAAACAAAGTCGCGAGATGGGACGCCGTCTGGAAGCGTTCAAATACGCTTGGCGAAAGCTTCCAGGAAGGAATGGTCTCCCTGCATTCCGGTGCGATCTGCCACAGACATCTGAAGACGGAAAACACGAAACAGATTTGAGTGTTATCCCTGCCTCAGACATCACTGAGACGGCAAGCAGGGAAGTGAAAGCGCTTGTATGACGGGAGGCATCACAGCATCTTACAAAAGTCGCGCTACCAAAATGAGGGAAAGTAACAAGACAACGAAAGGTTGGACTAACGTGTACCTTATTAAAAACTCGATGCTGTCTTCAAGCGATAGCTGTTCGAGTGTGGTTAGCTCTGGTTGGAAAAAAGAACTGAAACGGGATATGGACAGCAAAAACGTCTAAGATGCCACACCCACCATAACGAACCATTCCAACTCATTGCAAATTCGAAGAATCTGCCTATCGATCGCATCCATCGCACCCTGAAAAGCGCATTTCGAACGAGTCTCCTTCCGATGACACGAACAATAACACGTACACAAAAGCAGACGATGCAGAAAGCTCCTAATAACGAACCACTAGCAACGCTCCGCAATTGCAATACCATATTACGGCGTAAGATTCGATGTTTCAAGTGCAGTTACGGAGAACGCGCAACATTTGCCACGTCCTCCATCTCGTTGCTGCCGGCGCCGATTCTGGATCAAGAAGAGGATCATTGTGGTTTGCGAGTGCTTTTGTATAATGGGATTCGTGGGTTTTAAGCTGCTTTCATAGGTTTCTCCCTGATTTCTCGCTGAGGACGAGGGGCACTGAGAGGTTGAGATATCAAGCAACATTCTCTTTAGCAACACCCTCTTGTTACCCCACTCAGCAACGGCCAAGGAATTGGCCGTGTGTCTTTGCAGCGTTCACATCTTAGCACCGTTTCTTTCTGCTATGTTATTGCGATCGTAGATATGGCACTGCCGTCTTCACTAGCAACAATCTCTCCTACGTGTCAGATCGTGATGGTCAGTTCTCTAGCACGAATTATGTGTATTTCGGCACTTTAAAAGCGACTTTCCTTTAACCTCGACGCAACTAGTCAATACGCATTCTTTCCTCGATAGACTTACATGACGTTGATAAATAATCCCTATTTGGCTAACGTTTCGACGCCTTCGCCTTCATCAGAGCTGCCAACTTCAATGCTAACAGTTTTTGTTCAAACAAAAGTTTTCTTTCTTTTTACGAGAACCCGGAAAAAGTGATTCTTTTACTACTTTGTTGAAACTCCGTCGTCTGTTTCTACAAAACAACTGCGGTGACTGTGGATTATCGCCATCCATCCATGGCGTGAAAAAAACATGGAAAATTGCCCTGACTGATAGATGGAAACTGTTTCGACTAGATAGGAAGACGAAGACGCTACATCGGAAAACCAACAATTGTGGATCATCGACTCGGATCACCGACCCCGAGGAAGACGTAGCCGTCGGATGTTGGTAGAATAACTATTCGTTAAAACGTCCTGTTGAGTTGTCAATGAAAGAATGCGTATTTCGGTATTTCCAAGCATTTTTATACTCACGTATTCCATACGACAGCTGTTGTTGATCCTCACAACGGTTT